TGTCAAAAGACCGAAATGAGCATTTAATTCAAGGAAAAGCAATGTGATATATTCAAAGACGAAGGCGTTTCCGAAGTATATGCTGACGTCAGAAAGGTCAGCAGGATTGAGCAATAAAAACATAGTTACTTTGACTTTGCTGTAAAAGTGAAAGGAACATTCGGTCATCATTTGGGAAAATAAACCGAATTTAATGTGATTTCGAGGGCATCACAGAAGTTAAAAGTCGTCTTCCTTGTAAAGGTATTACTATCACTCAATTTAATATAAAATTCATGCTAATATATTAAGAACAAGAGGGTAAACGCTGGGTATATAGAATTCCTTTTGTACAGTAGTCACCATCGTCTCACCGAGAGCATCATCAGTTTTACGTTTAGACATGTATATTTTAAAATTTAAACTATGATGAAACATTCCTCTTTAAAAGCGGCTGTTGATCTTTATATAAATCAGTATTATTTAGAAGCGTAATTATCAAATGAAAGGAATAGGTCACATGAAAATGCAAATATCCCAAAAATTTCCAGCTTTCACCTTGCAAACATTGGCAAAGGCGGGGAAAGGCCGCATAGTCGCATGTTCTGGTATGGTGATCGATCTGCATGCAGGTCATTTTTTGGCTGATAACTCCACATTTATAATACTTCTATAATCTAAACATATAAACATGAACTAAACTTTAAGAAAGAAGCAATCGATATATAGGTTAGTATCAATTTTACCGCATCTATTCAAGTGAATCCTATATTGCGGCTTTGCCGCGCGGTGAAGTTTAATTGTTCTGTATTGCGGTAGTCTGCCGTAGTATACCGTGTTATATAATAGCACAACAGTATACAGAATAGGGCCGTTCATATGGGAGAAAAATAAGTCGCGCGACTTGTTCGCGACTTACATAACACGTGCGGACGCACTGTATAATTTTGTATCTAGAAGAATAATTCCAAATGAAGCTGAATTCAATCTTCATGCTTTTTCAGTTTGAATTCACGTGGCCATTATTAAGTTCTTAAATACATCCAAATACAATAACTAATTCAAGGAAAAGCACGGTTATTCTTAGAAAGCGTGTCTAAAATATATTTGACGTCACAGTGATCCGAGCTGAGGAACGAGTGAATAAACATGCCATTCTAGCTGTTGCTATGAAAGTGAAAGGCCGGAGTATTCCTTCATTGCGCACGAAAAATAAGCCGAATTTACTGTGATCTCGCAGCCACTGCCAAAGTTGGAAGTCACCTGTATGTATATATATACTTCTGCCCCCTCCAAATCAAACGTTTTCCGGCTCCAAAAGTACCGAAATGAGCAATTAATTCCAGGAAAAGCAATGTAATATATTCGAAGACGAAAGCGTTTTACAAGTATATGATGACGTCTGAAAGGTCAGCAAGATTGAGTATTAAATAAACATATACTTTGACTTTGCTGTGTAAGTGAAACTGAGGCCGGTCACCGGAACATTCGTTCAGGAAAATAAACCAAATTTAATGTGATCTCGTGGGCATGCATCACTGCAGTTAAAAGTCGTAGTTCCTTGTAAAGGTATTACTGTCGCTCACCTTCATACAAAATTCATGTTAATATACAGGGTGTATAAAAAAAAGGAGACCTTTAGAAATCAAGCATATTGTTAAAATTTGAATGCCTCTTCAATTGCACATATGCTGAACCGTGGTGCGTGAAATTTGAAGGAGTGCATATATTTGAGGTCTCCTTCTAATACATGCAATCATTATATTTCACGCACCACGGTTCAGCATATGTCCAATTGAAAAGGCATTCAAATTTTAACAATATGTTTGATTTCTAAAGGTCTCCTTTTTTTGATAGACCCTGTATTACAGAACTCGAGAGCAAAAGCAAGGAAGAATTCCTTTGTAGTTTGAAAGAATTTTAGTCAAAATTTTTTATTCGCGCATACTATGGCATTAATAAATACGAATGTCGTCGTGTTCCACAGTGAATAAAGCAAATTCTTTCAGAATTCGTATTGTATACGTAGTTTTTTAGTCTGACAATTCAGCTAGTTAATATATTAAAATACTAGCTACATTTGAAAAAATGTATGTGGTATTTCATTTGCTTCATATTTATTTGAAACAAAGGAGATACTCTCGTTTATAGGCCAATAAATTGACATAATCGCGGTCGGTATTCTAATTAAAGCGTTAGTACTTATTTAAATTATACTAAAACGAATCAAATTAGGAACAAAAATCTGGAAAACCTACGGAGCCCCGGAGGGGCCATCAATTAAAAAGACAAATTTTTTGTAAAAAAACAACACAAACATTTTTTTGAAAAAAAACACAAACTTTTTTGGAAAAAAAAAACACAAACTTTTTTTGAAAAAAAAACACAAACTTTTTTTTGAAAAAAAAACACAAACTTTTTTTTGAAAAAAAAACACAAACTTTTTTTTGAAAAAAAGCACAAACTTTTTTTTGGCATGGTAGACTTTACGGGTAGCGGATTGCGGAGGGCGGATTGCGGATGCGGATTACGGATGCGGATTACGGATTGCGGATGCGGATTGCGGATGCGGATTACGGATGCGGATTGCGGATTGTGAACCCATGCAAATCGTTTATTTCTTCGGAAAAAAGCCACAATAATTGCCTGTAGCTACTTGTAGCTATGCTATGCCCCCTAGGAAGTGGCTATATATGTCTTGGTTATAACGGAGTATATCTGTGTTAGAATGAAGCAGCCGAATATTTCGACAATAAAGAATAAACCAAGTTCGAATAAAATGAAACACTCAGATTCAAACATTTCGTAAGTCACATCGCGTGTATGGCGTGTATGGAGCTAAAGAATTCATTGACCGATGACAAATAGTGACAAAGCAAATATAGTGACGTTTAGTGTTTACTGCTAGACGTACATCCAGGCTCTAAATAGTTACTTTCAAGAAAAATTAGGTCGATACATAGATGTTTATTTACCCTAATCACTACAAATGTTTAAGTTGTTAATAAACAACCTCAAGAAATCGGATTTTGTGCAAGGCTGCCAAGGCTGATGATATTCTATTTATTTTAAATATTCTGGAGGAAACACAGTGAAGGTTAGTTTTTATAGTGAATACTATTTATCAATACTGATTGCTGTTGATTTGAAACTCGATTTTGATAATTATACGGTGTCGGTGAAACGAGGACGCAAAATCATTGGACAATGGCGGATTTTCAAGAAAATCATTATTTTCAAAATAGGCCGTTTCAATTTTAATAAGTTTTCGTTTCAACTGTGTCTTTAAAGGTTTATAACTATATATTTTGAAAGCTTCAAATGCGTGTGTTTACACGTGCAGCAAGGCGAGATTTTGAAAATGTAATAGATATTTTTGAATTTCCGTGGCATAACAACAGTTTGTTGCGAACAGTTTCTCGGCGAATTTTCTACTAACCTGAATATAAATCGAACTAAAATGTAGGCATTTTCATAAGCTATCTGACAATATGCGTAAAATTATTATACTTGTAATATTCACACTAGGCTTGATTGAGGATTGAGTAATGAGATGGACACGATACGTCTTCGGGAATACAAAGATAGCTTTCCCATTGTATTGCTTCCCAAACTTCTGAATACATTTAAAATATGCTGCCTCGTTTCGTCGTTCGTCTCGCTTTAAAAATCTTGTTAATTCTGATTTCTAAAATACAATATTTACACTCGGCAAAGTCGTGCTGCTTTCGGGTTCCGCCGTGAATTGCGGTCAAACCTCACGTCGCCCACGCAACCGCGGTTGAACCGCGGTGATCCGAGCTTGAACCGCGGTCGAACCGAGGTCGAACCTAGCATGATCCGCGGCTCAACCTCGGCCGACCCGCGGTTTTTGTCAACTTATTTCTAGGCAGTACTGTAGAAACATTTTCTGGGTGACCATGTCCCCGGACGGCCGGACCCGTAGTTATTATGTGTATTCGACCCTCCCCCCCTCCACTCGTTTGGGGCCGGCTACACCCCAGGATCATTTAATGGAAAGATGAGAACACAACCTCGTCCCCAGGGCCTTTGAGGACGAGGTTGATGAGAACATGCAGATAATGAGAAACCCGAAAAAAAGAACAAAACATAGATGCTGCAATGGGAATCATATAAAATGGGTGTGGTAGGTTATAATTTGAATACAAAATCCCTCCATGGTGTCATATTTAGGGACTGGTCATAATTTATCAGGGGGGGGGGAGGTGTAATTCAAAATTTTAAGGAATATTTTGTGACCCTGCTTTGCCATAACCCGGAAAAATAATGCCCTCTCTCTTGCTCGTGTCAGTAAAAATGTATCTACTTACTACTAAACCCTGCATTCAATAAATGTTCTAATTGCACTTTAAATTTTCTAATTTTCTAGTTGCGCTTTAAATCAAATACTAAAATTTATATTATACCAATCACATAGTCATATATAAAACATTAGTTTTTTCAAACTTTTCATTCTATTAAGTTTAAAGAATCAATATTTTTCATTGCAACTCAAACAAAATGTGAGAAGGCATGTATAAAACAATTAATTGAACTAAAACAGCAGACCCCCTCTCCGCCTTCATAAACTGTCTAATATTTTATGAACCCCCCTTTTTCCTAGTTACAAATATGTGACTCCCCACTGTTTCCACCTCCCCACCCCTCCTGCTAAATTATGACCAGTCCCTAAGTGAATTTTAAAAGCGTATAATAAATAGTTATTGGATGAGTTTTTTTGTGATATCCGGAATGACCAACGTCGATCGAGGTAGCCTAAGTGTTATCAGTCGAGCCAAATGTTAGGCGAGACTAATGACACTTACCAAGACCTTGAAGATTCGGGATATTACAAATTTAAAACCGAATTCAATAACTGTTTTATTATACATTGCATTTCATTAACTCTGTCAACAGACAATGATTTGTCGCACAAAACAACGTCTGGTTCTCAAACAAACCTGTGAAAACAATTTAAAATCACAATAACAGCATTAAAACATTAGAAATCACATTTACCTGGCCTACTATATACAGTATGACTATGCGATAAAAATGTGAAAAATGTCTGCTTTTAAATAAAAACATTCACAAAAACGCCGTTCGTTTACGTTTTCTTTGTTTTTATTCCTGTATTTAAAACTACCGCTTAAGGTTATAAAATTACATACCGCGCGGGTTCAGCCTACATATACTGTGCGTGATTTCCATATTTAGCTATTGACCAATCAGAAAACACGTAGTGACTGCATTGTATAATAACAACATACAATTTCCACAAATCAAAACATATATAACATATAATTTATTACACATCCATCTAATTTACACACAGCTGATTAGATCTATTAAAAAACAACAAGCGCTATAATTTAAATTTCAATAGGTTTAATAGCAGGTTTTCTAACATGCCTCATGGATGAGCCTGGTTCAGAGGGTTTGAATGGAGCAAGAGCACCGTAAGGACGAGGTATAGGCAATTCTGCATCATCATCTGGAATATATGCATTAGGACGAGGTTCTGCTGTTGTATATACATCACCTGCAATCTTGTATTGTTCCTGAAGGGCTTCGACCTATATATAAGAAAATACAAGAAATATTTACTATGTATCTACACACTGGCAGTAAATTTTAATGAAAAGCAACGTCGACATTTTAGTATGCATCAATATTAGACGAAAGCTTGAGCGTTCTTTAATCCTTGTATGCATTAGGGAAGTTTTGCATTCAGTTTACACACGAAATTTTTACTTTTAGGTTTTGCTGTCAAGAAGAAAAATAGTTTACCATGCATGCAAGCCTGATAAACAGTATAAACAGTGAGCAAGCTGAGCGTTTTTACAGAATATGTAACTTGACTACCTATAGTTGTTACCGGTGGTTGGAATTATACAAAACTGCGTTTCTATAACGTATAAGGAATGGAACCATTTTCAGTTTCTTTTTAAAGAACCAAAGACAGAAATGATCAGACTTCTTTCACCAATGTCAATGCAAATTTTCATTACTTGCTAGAAGTGGCGGCTTTTATTTAAATGGACAACAGGCTCCAAGTCTCGCTCGAATTCATATAATAGAGAGGTTTAGATTTGAAAACCACCACCTGTCACTGGCTTAGTACGCATCTGATTGGTTAATCGGATATATCAAACGCATCCGATTGGTTAATGGTCCATTAATGCTAGTAGTAGTCAAATCTGAACGTCCCTAATAAGTCCCGTACATGAAAGGGTCAAAAACCTGTTAGAGTTATCTCGAGTATCAAGAGTTATCTCGAGTGTTATTTTACAATACAGAAAAACAAACTTTTTAACCTTACTAATGGAATAATGTAAATCTTAAAGAGAAGGGGTATAACGATTTACCTCAGCACGTCGAATCTTCTCCTGTTTTTTTCGCTGTTGATCTCGCAACATTTTCATCCATGCTTTCTCAGCTTCTTCATCTGGAGCTTCTCCGCTCTCCATTCTTATATAACACTGTTCAAGTAATGCTTCCTTTTCTTTCACTTCTTGTTGTAATTTCATAGCACTTGCCTGTCATCGAGAAACACCAAGAAAAGCGTCTTAAAATAATACTATAGGTTTCGTTTGCACAGGAGTAAACTTTTCATTTGTGCGTGATTATTACAGTGGATATGAGCAAACATTTTTTCTTTTCATATTTATTATGCTCTACTGAAATTTAATCAACCCAATAAAAAACACCATTTCATTCGGAATTGCGATGTTTCCAGCAAAGTTGGGCATCGTTCATTTTTTGGGCGTGATTTCGTTCGTTCGGAATCATCTGCAGCTCTGAACGAATACTTTTGCAGTTTGTTCGGACACAAGCAGCGGTTAGTGAATACTTCATGTACGTCAAACGGATTCAATCTCTTATTTGAGAAATGCATATGTCCACAAAAATGATTTTACTGAGAACACACCTGATTCATAGATAGTTCAGAGACCATTGCCATCATCTTTCTTGTTGTTGCTTTAATCTTCCCTTGAAACTCGTTTACCTTAAATTAAATTAACGAAAAAAGAATGCATCTCATGGCAAGAAAATACAAGCACTTATTCTTGAGCATGCGCTCATGATGACATCTTGAAATTTGGATTACATGTATGATGGCACTATATAGGAAGACTGTAGATTTATTAAAGGTTGGGTGACATGAGAACCGAGCCACACAAGTCAAACATGTTATGCAGCATATCTTTATTATATTATCTGATCATTATTTGTGTAATATGTAAGTCTTCTATATGCCTAGTTACCTTCTTTGCTAGGTTCAACGTATCTTCTTTCCCCGTCTCGGCTTTCTTCTTAGTTCTCTCTGATAATCTATTTACTTCCTCAAATATCAAAGCTTTCTCCAGCAGTTTCTCCTCTTTTTCTGCGAGTCGGAATTCCAACTATAACAATAAATATTGAGTACAAAGTGAACAACTTTCTAACCATTAAATGTTGGACAAATTGATTAACCAACACATTGAAAGAAATTGTTCTAATCATGAATTGTCCACTGAATGAAAGCAAATATTATATCACGAATTGACTCTAGAAGTGTTTACGTCGCGCAATTTTCAATTCATCTAAACATTAGGTGTACGCAATGCGATGTTGGATACATGTGATCAAATATTCACTGTTTGGCAGTGACATGACGTAAGGACTTCTAAGGTCAATTGCACACTATACTCAAGGATCGATGTCACTCCTCAGAGAATAGAGCCTTTTTTTGGACCGACTAAATTTTTTATCTATACATGCGTGAGTTCAGCAATATTCCCGTTATTTAATTTCAGATTAGCAATTTCCCCGTTGTTATTTCACTTCACCTCCACTCTCACTGGATAAATTACCTCTTCAACTTTTGCAGTTAGTTCATCTGGTTTAGGATCATCACCCTTCAATACTCTAATTCTACCATCTTCTGACGGAGTCTCAAGTTGTTTTTCCAAATCCAACAAGTGATCTCGACAAAGAAGCAACTATACAATAAATATGGATACAAATATTAAGGTATTAAAATAAAAATAATAAAATAACGTATAGTTATCTAGCATATACACAGTATTACTGTAAGTACTGCATGTGAGACCTGTTGACATTGCAACTACTGGAAAAGGTTACGTCCAGCAATGAGTATGGTGAAACGTACATTGCAAACAAACTCTTTAATTTATAACAGCCTTTAGCCTCACTATCCAGCAACTGCATGAACGTATGGGAACTACAAAAATGTTTTAACATGCATGCATTAGAGTAATTTATGACTAAATAGAAGCACGCGAAGCATGCTGTCCCAAAGTAATGCATGTGTGGAATTTTTCCAAAAAGGAGTCGCAGTTCTTTGTATGGTCAACCCACTGCTATGGACAAAAGGAAAGTGCAGTATTCTACCACAACACACGTACGCCAACAAACCTGGATTTGAGTTGTAACAAGCTCATCGTCCATGGATTTCTTTTTTGGCAGCGTCTTCTTTGCGACTGCAATTAACCGTTTAAGCTCTGCCACCTAGGAAAATGAACAGTGCAGGTTAAATCTTTAAGTTATGCATGGGTGATAGTAAAACATTCATGTCTTTGTAAGAAAGATCGAGGGCGGATAGCGCTATCTGCCGGATAGTACTTTCTTTAAACGTTCTAAAGTTCGCCGTTGATTAGTGTATCGCAAATTAAACTTAACTATTTAAAGTTAACATTTTTATATTAATTGCGAGGCCCATATCCAGGGATTCATAGCTTTCCAGGCAATTTTAGAAAGGTGGATAGCGCTATTTGACCTTCATACACCCCGGCCCATGAGTGATAAGAATGTATAAACATCACATGAACCGGAATAATTAATTTGCATACGAAGGTCTACAGTATTCATATCTCATCCTGAAGCAATGGTATGTTTTATATCGACAATTAATGGTGTCGGGCATATTCATATTCTACCTCCAATTCAAGAATCCTAATTTCCTCCTGTCTAGCTCGAAGTTCCATGTCACCATTACGCAGCAATGTCTCTAAAAAGCAACATTTGAAACCAATTTTGAGTAATCGGGAGTTAATCGAACACTACAACAGAACTCCACCAACCTTGTACGTTAAGCTTTTCGTAGAAAACACAAACTTCTTCATTTCGTTCAATCAGTTTAATACCCCTATAAAATAACAAATAGCATTTTGTCGTTGTCTGTTCATTTACAAACTGATACACAGTATGACGTCATAACTTGATAGAGCAAAGAAAAGGTCGTCAGGGCGACGTCCTCTGCACAGACCAGGGCAAAATGTTGTCTAGTTGTGTTATATATATATATATATATATATATATATATATATATATATATATATATATATATATATATATATATATATATATATATATATATATATATAACAAAACAATTGAAAAATTACCTAAACTAAGCTTGTACCGAAACGTTTTGGGGTTTAAAACGTATTGAAAGATATCACACGCCATTTGACATGATCTGTGCAAAACAATATTGGTTCGCGATGTTTCTGAGAGAGCTGTAAATATTACGTCATTGAAATGGCGTCATCCGTACATTTGTCCTCCAATAATTGACATGGCTCTCGACCAGTGAAAAAACAGATTGAAGTCAGATTAGAAAGTATAAACTTCTACTTTTCTGGATCCAAAAACTTATTCATTTTTGAGGTGTAGTATTTAATGTAAAATATGTAACCAGAAGAAATAATACTCTTATTATTGCCAGTATACAATTTACCATACCTGTCATTTCTTTGTTGAATAGATTGTTCGTAGCGTTTCCGTAGCTAAATATAATAAAGAAACTCATTATCGTAGAATCCTTGTGGAGGGTCGCTGTTCTCGGGTGGTAAAATCCTGTATATTAACATACTGTGGAATATTCTTTTTTCTCCTTTTCTATTTACCACATATCACTTGCTTAATTTGATAATAGTAAAACGACTCAAAGCATGCATTATGCCTTTTGAGTTTCATTTCAATAAAAAAATATAGCGTATGCAAAACGGTAATGAAAAAAAACTGGGGTTTTAGTAACTGTACACTATATACAAATGTTAACTAAACCAACCTGAACCATGTTTTCTTCGGCTTTATTAATTAAATCGTTCAACTTTGCAATATCCATCCTCTAAAATATATAATACATGAAATAATAAATTCTGCAGGTATAATTATGAGCGGGATGGAAGCGGAATGATGAATATTTCACTTTGAATATTTAACAATTATTCGCCGAAGGCGAGGTGATTATCGGGGAATATTCGCCGAGACAAAGTCGAGGTGAATATCCCCCGCTAATCACCGAGCCTGAGGCGAATAATTGTTTTAGTATTTTTACACAAGCTTTTGTTTTTTGAGACTGAATTTATTTTAATTTCGCTTATTTCTTTGTCAGTAAACTTCCACAAAACGGATAGCCGCCATTTTGAACATTTTTGTTTTGTCATGTTCACCTGTAGGTGAATATAAAGCTTATTACGTCAAATTTGACCAATCAACGTGTAGGATTTGTTATGTTCACTTGTGCAAAAATACTAAGAATATTTAAAGTAGGAATATGATGATTTGAAACAAAATTTGAATGAATATTTCCCTCACCACCTCTCCCGTATTTTAGGAATTGAAGGTAGGAATTGAATAATGCAAGAAGGAATATTGAACAATGCAGGAAGGAATATTGAATAATGCAGGAAGGAATATCGAATGATGCAGGAAGGAATATTGAATAATGCAGGAAGGAATATCGAATGATGCAGGAAGGAATATTGAATAATGCAGGAAGGAAATCTGATAAAATAGGTACGTCACTACGTCAGTCGTACATGTATCTGTATCACGTTGCCGCATGCTGCTGGATTGTTGTTGTTGCCTGTAGTTTTTGTCGTATAATTATAATTGTTGTTGTTGTTGTTGTTGTTGTTGTTGTTGTTGTTGTTGTTGTTGTTGTTGTTGTTGTTGTTGTTGTTGTATTAGTTCTTGTTGTTGTTGCTAAGTTGGAGAATTTGGAGACTTTAAAGAGTCAATGGCCAGAGGCATACGTGCCCAGGCGCGATAAGCTGTTATATATCCCGCGCTCGCTTATAGCTTAATAGCTTACTACTCACGCAGGATATAGTTCACCTTTTGTTCACGTTTCTCTTTGTTTTCCTCCCCAATTCGATCTTGTTTGCTGACTTCATTTCTTAAACTGTCTCTGATTGCTATCGCGTTGTTCTTTTTCAAGTGAGACTTTTGCAATAACCTTTAGCAAATTAGAATATCTATTTACATATTTTATGCGTATAAACGATTGACTATACTATCATAAATTATCATAAAATGGTTGTATAATTTTACTAAACAACTATAAATTTATTACGAGTCGTAAAGTAACACTGCTACCTTACCTATCTTTAGAATTAACTTTGGATCTCAATATTTCAATTTCGTTTTGCAAAATCTTGATTTTCTCACGCATTTCAGACGCTCTCTTTTAAAAAGACAAGCCACTAAATTAATGTAATTATAAACACAAAATTAAATGATACACTGTGTGTCAAAAAAATTTACCTGAGTGCTAGTTTGAATAAGGTTGACACACTTATTTCTTTCATTTTTAATAACATCGTAGAGTTTGGCGAAATCCGACAGCCTACAATATCATGAGAAGATTAATTTCAATAATACAGCACTAAAATGTTACGATGTAATAAGATCTCATGACATTTTATGGTTGAAATGAAAGCCAGGATGTTTTACTGACTTGTGTTGCATTTCAGAGTATTTCTTGGCGCTGTCTTGAATGTGAAGGTTTTTTGTCTTAACATCCTCTTGGGCTCTTTGATATCTTAACTATAAAAGTAATATCACAATATGTTACGTCGAACATAGCCTGTGCACATGACCAACGACATCCTTATCATCATCATCATCATCATAATCATCATTCGCATCATCCTCGTCATCTTCATTATCCTCATCATTGTCATCAAACTCATCCTCATCTGCTTCATGCTCATCCTCATCAATATCGTCATCCTTATCATCATCCTCATCATTAGTATCACCTCATGAATCATCATCTTCATTATCCAAATCATTTTCATTATCCTCATCATCATTATCAGTATCCTCGTAGCTCATTATTTATCATCATCATCTGCCACATCCTCATCACCACCATCCTTCATCATCCTACAAGCCTCATTATGATAATCCTCGTCATCCTCAGTGTCATCTTCATCATCATCTCGTCATTATCATTATCAACAGCATCCTTCCTCATTCCCACCACCCGTCATTCTCATTATCCTCATGATCTTTACTATCCTCATCATCCTCATCATTATCATCCTCCTTATCATATTGCAACATCCTCATCTTCCAATCATCCTCGTTATTGATCTGCATCATCCTCCAATCCTCATCATTTTCATTCTTGTCATCCACATCATACTCATCATCGACAACATAATCATCATCTATAATCTGCTTAGTGTCAAATTAACGTTACAGATGCATCTTACTGAGGAAGGTTTAATTCCTTAGTAAAATAGAATCTATAATCATACGCATCTTGCACAATCGTGCTGCATTATCGTGCAAAATATGTTGTCTTGTACATCTGCAAATAAAGCCTCACTTTTGTTATGCTGTGTCGAGACACAGCATAACAAAAGTGAGGCTTTATTTGCAGATGTACAAGACAACATATTTTGCACGATAATGCAGCATCCACTCACCTCAGCTCTCACAAAATCACGTGCCTTGCTCTCTCTCTCATCAGCCTGTAAGTAATGAAATGCAGATATATGTATAGAGAAATATAAAAATTTTGAACGCCAATAGGCTCTTTGCACAATGTCATAAACTCACAACGTTATTGTGTGATTTCAAAAACAATGGAAAGACAATGGGACTACTGTTATTATTAGCACTACTGTTATGCTAAATGTTATGCAAAGGGACAATAAGTAACTAGATTCCTTACTAATTTTTTTTAAAATACGATACATTATAACGACTTCATGCACTCCATTTGCGTGGTATGATGTGTGAAAAATTCTCAAACAGAATGTTTTAATTGGTGTATTTGTGATTTTCTAACATATAACGACTTTATATAACGTATTGGGTCACCATTTCAAAGTGACTAAAGTGCGCGTCTAGTTTTGGTAGTATTGCAATTATTAATAATAGTTCTATTTTAAATTATTTTTCAGGTAATTTCATTCAAACCACTCCGGCTTATTACAGCTTGTTATATTTGTTAACGGGTAGATAGTACAGTTTTTGTGATTTGTAAAGAACTTGGGAAGGGAATATTTACCTTTATAGCTGCAAGTCGTTTAAGATCAACGACATCCAGTCGTAGGTTAGACTGATCACGAAGGAGATTTTCCTGCTCCAGAATCATTTGTTCAACCCTGGCACGTTCATGAGATGTATATCCGTTCTAAAAAAGTAATTAACTTGTTTGCAAGTGCAATATTCTACCAACTGTACCTACAAATGGCAGACTGTTGTATCAGTGGTTTGTACTGATGTAGTCTTTGAAACCAAAGCGATTCACACTGTGGTGAAGCAATTTTCCAGCTTGCTCGATGTGGTGCCATTCTGAGTAGTCAGAAAACGCTTGTACTGCTGAGTGTAACGGAATTAGGATTTTATTTTCAAAATTTGACGTGGATAAAATGTGACATTAATTAAAAACAGAATTTTATTTACTTTTTCAACGTAAAGTGTTGCATATTTTGCCAAATTATCGTAGGAAATGTGGACAGTATACAGTCATCCCAAATTATTGCTGTTGCTGCTAAAATCTATATTTGTCTACTTCAGATTACATCGCATAAAACTAATTAAAAGGTTTCTTACTTGCTGTGCCAAGGTTTTCTTTGCTAAATCCACTTCTTTCTGCAATTCTTTTCTTTTTTGAAACAACGTTCCATCATCTTTTGGCGCAATATCAAGTTGTGATTTAACTTTAGCATACACCAGTTTTACTTGTTCTAAAGCATCGCTTGCAACTTTAAATTGAAGTTCAGCCTTTTTTAGGTTTCTGGAAAACAAAATTGCCTAGTGTCAAACTCATGCGATACGTTTTATGAATTATGATTGATTGATCTCTATTTTTCATACTGTATATACAGTTTAATCAGCACCAATATTAGGATATGATATTGTTATCTTTTTTGTTGTTTTATATTAAATATCATAAAGTATAGCTAAGAAGCGTCCTCATGGTCAGTATTTTTCAGTGTGAAGAAAGTTCTAGATTTCAAAAAGACCCTTCATTTCAAAAGAAAATTCTTTCCTCTTTGTCCTCCTCAAAAGTAAATATAAAAGTATTTTATATTTCTGCATATGGATATGCAGTACTTAATTATCTCACTCATATAAACCAGGCTTTATATACAGTAAACATAATTGTATAGCCCACACGTATAGGGCATGACGAATTACAACTACATTTTAATCAACTTTAGCATACAATGCATGGACAACAATACATTCAGTAATTTTAAACGTACTTCAGATCCCTATCTTTCTCTCTTAATTTTCTGCAATGGATATCATGTTCAGTCTTTCTCTCCAGTGAGATGTGTTTCATGTTGATATCCAATGTAGCTCTAAAAACGAAGATAACTCTGACTTTAGAAAAAATGGAAGAAACACATGCCATTCTCAGGTGGTGGAGATGGTGGTGACATAGCTATAGTGTGAAAGTACACACCACTGACCTTTGGTTTCACAACATTTTAAGTAATTTCAGGAATTCAGATAACGTTCGAAGCACTGAAAGTGTCTTTCATAATGAAGACATAAATTATATTTATTATTCAAAAACTCATTAATAATTCATGAAGCAATTATCCAATCTTGATTGAGTAAGAAATTAGTCACGTGCATACGTCTTTATACCAGCTAAAGAACACTTTAACACAAGACCATTGTTATGCAAACAATATAAAGATTTTTATATAAAGATTTTTATAATTTATATAAAGATTTTTATATAAAGATTTGACTTATTATGCGAACGTTTTTGAAGCCATTTAAAAAACTCGCAGGTCGTGTTTTATTATAGGTCTAAAGCCACTCGCGCTGCGCGCTCGTGGCTTTAAACCTAATAAAACACTCCTGCTCGTTTTCTAAATAGTACATAAAAAGCAGGCATTAACTGTATATTGGTGTATGTTCAAACAAAAAAAACAATAAGCATGCAGATTACACCATTTTGTGTAATAATGACTGCATGTATTCCGAATGGCTTAAGATATTCAATTACATTTGAAAATCATGCACATATAATTATATGACTGCAATTAAATACATTTATATGAATTTATTTTAATCTTCGTGCAAGGAGCAAAAACCTGTGAATCGACAAATGTTTGGCTAAAATAAACATATTAAGAATGTCAAACAATCAGCCTAGTTCCTGCATGGACCTTCAAAATGCGGATCGGTGGACGCAATTAACATGCACAGTATAAATACCCCACTAAATATGCTAAAATTTAAATGATTGTATATGTTATGCAAAATAAGTGCATTATTTTATTTTTATACTATTTCAGAACCATCCTCAGAGATAAGAAAAACCAGTTTCATATTATTCTGACACTGCAATAGACCAACGAAAAATTCGTTGGCTCGAGCGGGATTTGAACTTTCTACCCATTGAACTATCGAGTCAACGAGGATTGGTAGCGAGTCTTATCCAATTTAAGTGCACGAAATATTAACGCTAACCCTATCCCGCTCGAGCCAATTAACGAATTTTTCGTTGGTGTATTGCAGTGTCAGAATAATATGAAACTGGTTTTTCGTATTGAAACACTGCGCGTCCTCTATAAGACAAGCGTTAAGTAGTCACAAAACTATTTTGTGCACTTAAATTGGATAAGACTACCAATCCCCGTTGACTCGATAGCTCAATGGGTAGAGCGGCGGTCTAGATACCCGAAGATGTGAGTTCAAATCCCGCTCGAGCCAACGAATTTTTCGTTGGTCTATCGCAGTGTCAGAATAATATGAAACTGATTTTATTATAAGTTCTTGGAATTTCTTACCGATCTCCAATCAGTTCGGCCTGTTTCTCTTTGGAGAACTCCAGATCCTTTAGAAACATATCTACATCTCGTTCCTGATTGAAAATTAATAATGATATCGTGTTGAGTCAGCTTACTATATATTATGAGGATATGTTGACGCGATATATGTCGTTGCTAAATCACAGCCGTCGATCTATTCAAGACATTAGGGAGTTTAAGCTTCACGTTTCCGGGAACAGCAAACGGCAGGTACGAAATTTCTTGGCAAAATTTTCGTTGAACGTTTTCGTTTCATATTTTCTTCCTTGCGTCAAATGAATAATCATATGTATTATATTTTTAAAACAGCAAGTTCATTTACTCTTTATTGCCTTATAATGTAAAATTTTTCTTTGCCTGGCGTTTGCCGTTTGACGTCTAATAGTCCGTGTGTTGTGACCTTGAAAAGTGCCTAGAAAACAATTTTCATTAAGCATGTCTTAGAACTGAAATACTTTTACGGGAACTAACACTTTCGAACACGCTGAGTTCAAATCCGAAAAGTTCCCACTCCGTAGACCCGCAGTTTTTTCACAAAATGCTATTTTATC